ATCACTTACATCAACATCATAAAAAATATATTTTTTCTTTTATTCTACACTGAAAAATGTAGGGAGGGAAACAGAACAGAGAAACAAACAAAACCCCAAAATAAATATGTAGGAGGAGAAAAAATACACACACACACACACACATAGTGAGAGATGCCGTTGTCGTATTACACACGTCAGACTGAAGCAACACGCTGAAACACTGAATTCGGTTACACAAGTGCATGATGTAACAGCGTGTGTGTGTGCAGATATTCATAAATATGAAATGTGTGCTGGAGGTGTGATGTGTGTGTCCTTTTTTAAATTGGACGGAGGTAGAGAGGTGCCAATACTTTGTACAGTGCAACAAATAGGCTGCAGTCGGTGACCTGTATGGACCTGAGCACCAGCGCTAAAAAGGACCAATCAGCTTTCAGCTTTCATTGAAGTGTGCTCTAACAAAGGGGGTTGGGCTTTTACCTGTGACATGTGCTCATCATTCTTGACCACACCTTGCACCTGGAGCAGGTTTTTTGCCACGCCCACACAGGGCAGGTCCAGCAGAACGCCGAGGTGACATGCCAAACCGAACTCTACATGTGTGTACACACACACACACACACACACAAACAGGTGTACAAGATTAATCGAGTGGTAAATGAAATGCAGAGTGTGTGTGTGTTTGTTGAGCTTTTCTCCACACTGACCTCGGTAGTGAAACAGGCCGTTCCCGTCCACAATCAACACCTGCAGAAAGAGAGGAACAATGACTGATCACTACACTCACAATACACTTCAAATTATTATTATTATCATTATTATTAGTAGTAGTAATATTAGTAGTAGTATTTATTACAATGCAAATAAACCTGAGATAGAGGTACAACAATTCAGAAAACATTTAGTCACTTCATAAAAAAGAGTCGAGTTGAAAACGTGTGTGCGTGTGTGTGTATGCGTGTGTGTGTGTGAAACCTGTGGCATTAGCTCGGGCTGCTCTCTCTGCAGTGTGAGGAGAAGCTGCAGCAATGGTGGAGCCTCTCTGAAGGCCAGAAACCCCGAAACATACGGAGAGCTGAGACACACCATCTCACTGACATCATATACCACCTACAGAGAGAGAGAGAGAGAGAGAGAGACTGACTAAATGCCTCAGATATGATGATTCATCTCAAACATAAAATCAGTTAAAAGGCCACTTGGAAGGAAGGAAGAAAAGCAAGGAGGAAAAAAGGGGGGGAGCAAGCAAGGAAGGTATGAATCCTTGGATTGATGGATGGTTGGAAGGAAGGAGAGTCAGTTAAAAGCATGGAAGGAGGGGAGAATAGAAGTAAGAATGCAAGGAAGAAAGGGAAAAGAAAGAAAAGAATGGTGGAAGGAAGGAAGGACAAGAGGATGGATGGATAGATAGAAGGATGGAAGGATGGGACAGCCAAAGAATGCAAGAAAGGAAAAAGGTAGGGAATAAAAGAATGGTGGAAGGAATTAAGAAAGGGAGGATGGATGAAAGAAAGATGGATGGATGGATAGATATATGGAAGGAAGGAAGGAAGGAAGGAAAGAAAGAAAGATTGTGAGACAATATTTAAATTTTGGTTTCAAAGGAATACGGCATAAATAATGCTTAAACTGTAAATATCTGTCTGTCTTCATATTATGATGATGATGCTGATGCTGATGAAGAAGATGATGAAGATGACCTGGAGGTCAGGGTAGTTGAGTATGACGAGTTGAGCGCAGGCGTTGTGTTCATCTCCTTTAATAAATGACAGGTCGACTCCCCCGACTCTCTCCAGCCCTCTAAAGTCCGGCTCCTTCTGCCACGCCTCAGTGTCCTCCAACACCAACCTCTGCTTCATACACTCCTGTTCGCTACACACACACACAGCCAATGTTATCCATGCATTACTATCTAAAGCCAAAAGGAGTAAAGGAAGGAGGGAATGAGGGAAGGAAGGAAGGAAGGAGGGAAAGAAGGAAGGAGGTAATGAGGGAAGGAAGGAAGGAGGGAATGAGGGAAGGAAGGAGGGAAAGAAGGAAGGAGGTAATGAGAGAAGGAAGGAAGGAGGGAAAGAAGGAAGGAGGTAATGAGGGAAGGAAGGAAGGAGGGAAAGAAGAAAGGAGGGAATGAGGGAAGGAAGGAAGGAGGGAATGAGGGAAGGAAGGGGGGAAAGAAGGAAGGAGGGAATGAGGGAAGGAAGGAATGAGGGAATGAGGGAAGGAAGGAAGGAGGGAAGGAAGGAAGGAGGGAAAGAAGGAAGGAGGTAATGAGGGAAAGAAGGAAGGAAGGAGAGAAGGAAGGAAGGAGGGAAAGAAGGAAGGAGGGAATGAGGGAAGGAAGGAAGGAGGGAATGAGGGAAGGAAGGAAGGAAGGAAGGAGGGAAAGAAGGAAGGAGGGAATGAGGGAAGGTAGGTAAGAAACAAGAAAGGAAGGAATGAGGGAGTGAAGGAAGGAAGGAATGAGGGAAAGAAGGACGGAGGGAATGAGGGAAGGAAGGAGGGAATGAAAAAAGGAACGAAGGAGGGAATGAGGGAAAGAAGGAAGGAGGGATATGATGGAAGGAAGGTAAGAAACAAGAAAGGAAGGAATGAGGGAATGAAGGAAGGAAGGAAGGAAGGAAGGAGGGAAAGAAGGACCGAGGGAATGAGGGAAGGAAGGAGGGAATGAAAGAAGGAAGGAAGGAGGGAATGAGGGAAAGAAGGAAGGAGGGATATGATGGAAGGAAGGTAAGAAACAAGAAAGGAAGGAATGAGGGAGTGAAGGAAGGAAGGAAGGAAGGAAGGAAGGAAGGAAGGAGGGAAGGAGGGAAAGAAGGACCGAGGGAATGAGGGAAGGAAGGAGGGAATGAAAGAAGGAAGGAAGGAGGGAATGAGGGAAAGAAGGAAGGAGGGATATGATGGAAGGAAGGTAAGAAACAAGAAAGGAAGGAATGAGGGAGTGAAGGAAGGAAGGAAGGAAGGAGGGAAGGAGGGAAAGAAGGACCGAGGGAATGAGGGAAGGAAGGAGGGAATGAAAGAAGGAAGGAAGGAGGGAATGAGGGAAAGAAGGAAGGAGGGATATGATGGAAGAAAGGTAAGAAACAAAAAAGGAAGGAATGAGGGAGTGAAGGAAGAAGGATTAATGATTCATGATCCACTTTACTGATAATCACCTCCCTAATGAAATGATTCCCTAAAGTCCACCTTTACCAAGTATTGTAATAGAATTATGAATCCCCCCCCACACACCCACACATACAGTACATGCTGACTTTATGCCTTTTGTTCCCGCAGACTCGTTCTCAGGAACTTCAGTAACAGACAGTTCTTTAGGGTGAGATAATCAGCTGGGGTTCATCCGGCCATAACACAAACCGTTTCTTTTCCAGTACAGTGAAACTGTTTTCTTTGTATGTCCCAGTATATCAGGAAGTTGGGGTCAGCCATGATATAAAAGAGGGTTAAGGGCCTTGCTCAAGGGTCCAACGGTGGCAGTGCTGGTGCTTGAACCCCGACCTTCCAATCAGTAACCCTGAGCTTTAACCATTAAGCCATACAGTTTTTCTTCTGAAAGAAGCTATGATGCATTAAGAGAGCATGATTTATGTTTTGTATGGTTACTAGGAATAGTTTCCTCAGCTAAAGTTATACAGAGGTTTGAAATTGACCTTTGACACGCTAAAACCGGGTGCACACTGCGATTTTTAATAGTCCATTGTGACTGTTGCTTGTCAGACTGTACGAACTTGATCCCCACTGTAAGCCATGTCACACTGTAGGATCTCAGCAGTCTTTAGTATCAGACTGTACTACAGTCAAGATGAGACACACGCACGCGGGAAGACTCCTACGGAGGAGGAGACGCCACACTGCAGGACTGTCCCTCAAATCTTCTGACACTGGCAGAATTTAATCAGACGACAAATCTGATCGCAGTGGCCGTTAATCGTCTGTCAGGGAACACGTCAAACTACCGATCAGAGACTACAGATTTTGGCCTAGGATTGTAGGAATTTTATAGGATTCTTCAAAATTGTCTCAGAAGACCAACTCGTGGCCAAACTTGTCCAGTGTGAACCCGGCTTAAAAGAAAAGAACAATACTTGCAAGTTTAAATAAAATCTCTGACAAGTACAATAGGAAAGGCCCAGGCTTGCACTCTGATAGAAACCTCTGAGCTAACGACATAAATGTTTCATAAATAAGTTCTAATACACCTCGGACTTATTATATACTATTTTACACTTCTAGCACTAACTACAAGACTATTCTATAGAGCCAGATGAATAAGTTAACGGTTCTTATTAATCGCAGTGAGATATTTAAATCATAAACTAAAACATGTTAGCCCTATTCAACCTCTCTCTCAACCTGTCTCTCTGTGTGTCTCTCTCTCAACCTGTCTCTTTGTGTGTCTGTCTCTCTCAACCTCTCTTTGTGTCTCACTCTGAACCTGTCTCTCTCTGTGTCTCTCAACCTCTCTCTATGTGTGTCTCTCTCTCAACCTGTCTCTTTGTGTGTCTGTCTCTCTCAACCTCTCTTTGTGTCTTACTCTGAACCTGTCTCTCTCTCTGTGTCTCTCAACCTTTCTCTCTATGTGTGTCTCTCTCTCTCAACCTGTCTCTTTGTGTGTGTGTGTCTCTCTCAACCACTCTCTGTGTCTCACTCTGAACCGGTCTCTCTCTGTGTCTCTCTCAACCTTTCTCTCTATGTGTGTCTCTCTCTCTCTCAACCTGTCTCTTTGTGTGTCTCTCTCTCTCTCTCAACCTGTCTCTTTGTGTGTGTCTCTCTCTCAACCTCTCTCTGAACCTGTCTCTTTCTGTGTGTCTCTCTCAACCTCTCTGTGTCTCTCTCAACCTCTCTGTGTGTCTCTCTCAACCTCTCTGTGTCTCTCTCAACCTATCTCTTTCTGTGTGTCTCTCGCTGTGTCTCTCTCAACTTGTCTCTGTCTCTCTCTCTCTCTGTGTCTCTCGCTCAACCTCTCGCAACCTGTCTCTTTTTGTGTGTCTCTCTCAACCTTTCTCTGTCTCTCTCTCAACGCGGTGGTAGCTCAGTGGTTAAGATGTTGGGTTATTGATCAGAAGGTTGTGAGTTCTAACCCCAGCACTGCCAAGCCCCTAAGCAAGGCAATTAATACTGCCAAGCCCCTAAGCAAGGCAATTAATCCTCAAATGCTCAGCTGTACAAACTAAATAAATGTAAGTTACTCTGGATAATGATGCCAAATGCCATAAATGTTCCACAACCAATTCCACAACCTATTAAAAAAAGACACAATCTATGGAGGAAAAAAAAGAAGACTCGACTCAGATCACATAAGACTCAAAGATCTGACCCACTATGATGCAAAAATGATGTGAATACACATCACTATCCTACACGTCGTTGCAACATGTGTTTATGAGATGTTTGAACAAAGCTCTAGTTGTCCATATTAAGCTGAAGCTGATCACGTGACACGGAAGTGTGCAGGGTTCAATTTAAATGTTACAGTTTAAATGTAGGGATTAGTCCCAGTAGCTGCTCAGTGTATCTACTACTGTCCTTTCTGCTTAAAGCTCTCAGCGTGGGGCTTTAACAGCGGCTGGAATCATCAGCATCTCTTCGAACACATTCAATATTGACCTAAAGTTTAAATCCTGCACGTGTTTGAACTTGACGATTTATGGATTTATGACTTTGTTATGATTTCCTTCACACAGCTTCGGTTTCGTTTTTAGACAACAACTCTAAACGAAAGAAAGAAATGAAACCAATCTGAACCATTAAGTAACTCGAAATACTGTTAATAAAAAGTGTATCTCTGTAGGCAGTGCCAGACCTTTCCCATTTCTTAACCACTTCCTCTTCTGGAGCCCACATTCAGCTGTCTGTCCGGCTCTTACTTCCGGGGTCACTTCATACATCCGGGTTCGGACGACCATCGAGGAGGCGTGGCTAAGGAGACAACACTCCAGTAATAAAACAACAGTGTATAAAATGTACATCTATTTTACTGCTGTCATAAAAGACATAAAAAATGGATCATCTTATAATCCAACATCTCAAAATCTCCTTTCTGTTTAATATTAAGTGAATATTTAAAAAAAAATTTTAGATGCAAAGCCAATCAAGGTCCTGCCTGTAATCTGAAGATTCTCCAGAAGAGGGCGGCATTAAAATTTAAATATGTCGATTCGCTTGGGAAAGACTTGCATTTACGTTTCTCACTATTTTAATCAGGCTTTATATGATATTCATTTTCAGTTGCTCATGTGGTGTGAGAAAACGTTGATAATGATTAAAGCGAGATCGTACAAGTAGAAATGTAGTAATGAGAATTTTGTTCAATCATTTCCCCCCCCAGATTTTTTTAGATAACTTGCATTCATAACATGGCTTCTCTTGAATAATAATAGTAATACAATAATACAAAAATGACAAAATGTTTGTTTTTTGTGTTTGTCCACTTTGCTAACATTATGGCACAGGCTATATTCCTGAAAAGCTCACTTCCTGAGAGAGAGAGAGAGAGAGAGAGAGAGAGAGAGAGATAAAATTGCTATACACGAGTTTCTTTTAGATAATTTATCACTAATGTTGAAATCAATCAATTACACAAACTCCTTTCCTTCAAATCCTTTTTTTTCCTTTGTTCAGAAGAAAAAAAAATCCTTCCTAGATGATCTGAATTCACGAAATTGTCCACGTTCGTTCCTCTCATCATTTACATTCTTACAGAGGAATTTCCCCAAAATAGTTATGCATTTATGGTAAATCACACACTGAAAAGTTCATAAAAACATTTTTTAAACAATACAAAATGATATTTTTGATGAAATGAAAAATAAATTACTTTCCAACAGAATTGCATGTAAATGTTTTTCCCTTGAGAGCTTCCCACATTGTGAAATAATTGTTTTTATTTCTAACATTAGCTAATAATAATTAGCATAATTTTTTAATGGTTTTGTTTTATAAAGTAGTTATATGCAAATCGGCACATATTTAATTAGAATAAATTGACCTGTGAAAACACCAGCAAGAGCTGGCGCTTACCTGTGCTTTACTGGTGTAATCACCTTATACATTTATTTATTTTTTGCTTTCTGCTACAAATGATTTACTCATCAAACACCACAAAATCAAGAACTGTTTGCTTTGTTTTTTGAAATGTAAACAAACAAATAACACTATAAAACAGCTATAATGCTGCGATTCTGTTCTGTCAGTACTGAAGTTACGGCAACATTAACGGAAAAGCAAAAACAATTCTCAAATAAAACCTTTCCAATTTTTTACTGACAAAAAATAAACAAACAAATAAAAACACTTATTTGCACAAAAAGAGGGGGAAAAAAGACTCAGGACACACAATCACTTTTAATTCAAGTTTAATAATTTCCAAAGAAAAACAAATGTAAAGGCGCTATCTCGTATATTAATCTCAAAAACATTTGTTTAATCTTTACACAGAAAGTCATCATTTCATCAGAGAAAGATATGCAGTGTTCATGAGCGAGGAGTTCGGCGTGTGCGGATGAGAAACGGACATTCATGAAAAAACAAACATTAAAGATTTACAGTTACATAATTATAGCTCTGTATTTATATATTATACACATAGCCCTGGTGCAGGAGAAACAGGTCCTCACACGACGCTGAGCGCGACCGAGCTTTCGTTATTTCTGTTATTATCTATTTATTTTTAAAGCAATATTGAGATATTTCAGTTCTGACAATCTCTTTAGTTGTAGTTCATCACACACCGCAGGCTGCTTTCACACTTTCAACCCACAAACACACGTTTCAAAGCACGTTCTTTTTGAGTGACGTGAGGGGTGTTTCCTCCTCCACTCTTAGCCAATCAGGTCGCGGATTTGGGCTCAGACGTGGAGCGCTGGCGGAAAGGCGGTGGAAATAAAACGGAAAATATTTCACGGTCAACTAAACCGAACAGCACGTGGAGATTTTTTGGGACAAACAAACACAAAAAAGCATAAAAATTTTCTGAATCTGCACCTAAGACAAAACACCAACCTGTATTTCATCTGCATTCCTAATATAAATTAAACATATTCCACGGAGCTAGCCGGACTAGATAGTTAGCCAATACTGGACTAGCTACTGTAGCTAGACTAGTAAGAGTGATGCCATGGTTACAGAGTACACGCCACATGAGCCGGAGTGTGAAAGCCGCCATAAACAGGTAGTAAAAGCTGTAAAACTCCGATTACATTCTGAATTGGGTGACCAGGTGGATTGGGACGCTCTCATTGGCTGTTTTGAAAATGCATCGTGACCGTGTTCAGTTTCATAATCCAGTCCTACCTTCAGAAAACTGACGAGCGTTAATCAGTAAAGTTCACAGCGTGTGTAACGTGTAATTTTCACGCTATAAATTAATATAAATATAAATGCAGGCAGTAAGTTCTGTCACCATTTTGACCTTACAAAGCAGGCCACGCCTACAAGTGCGACAAGTTGCTTTGCTAGCAGAGCCTCCGCCATTTATCCGTAGCACTTTTTCGATCTGGAAACTACGGAAAACTAGATTCTCTGAAAGGACGCAAGACGTGCAAGTTGCTTTTCTTTGCTCTGCAAATTCATGGAAGTCGATTTTGTCAACCGACTTTAAATTTTTTTTTTAAAGAGAGTGGGGCTGAGGAGTCAAACGTCTGTAAAAAGCGCATTTCCAGCCAACTTTTAGCACGGAGTCGAAATACGCTACGTGGTTTGTGTTAAAATTGTGTTCGTTAGCGATGCTGGCACCTCTGAGCTAGGGTGCACTATGTAACATTTGTAAATTGTAACAATTGCCGTGCAGGTCTGTCTTTTCAGTTGTAAGAGCGATAATATAAAGTGCGGAGCCGCAATCTGATGCATGTGTAGTCCTGTTTCTCCGCTTGTGTTAGCCCTGCTTTGCTAATTATACGAGAACAAACGTGAACACACGTGACACTGATGCAATGCAATGAGATGATATTGTCCAGTCTGTTGCATCGCTGTAAACCATTGAGGAAAGAACAGACTTCATGTGCATATCCCAACATCCAGAGAGTGGCTAGCATTTAGCATTAGCATGCCATGCCGTATTGGGAGTAATAGCTGGGAAGAACATACTTTAAAAAAAAAAAAAAAAAAAACGTTAAAACGTGACACGATCCGAGTGCTCGTCTTTCAAAATACGTAGAAAACGCAGAGTTTCCATTACATTTACGCTAACCTGGAGCGTCACGTTCTGAATCTCAATTTGATTTCCACCAAGGACTATTTAAAAAAAAAAAAAACAAGAACAGCAGACAACAATATGAGCAGTACAGTTTAATAAACACGCTCAAAATGGCGGAAACATGATGACTTCATCTTCTCAAATCCTCCGAATCTGTGCTCTGACTGTTCTTTGTAAAAATATACATACATCACTATCTGAAACGTTTTTAAAAAACGCCTTTTACAATCCTCATCATCATCAAGTACATACTAGAACTCACATGCGTGTTAAATCGGCACATCGTGACCCGAGATTTCCAGTTTTTGATTTGGAACGCAGCCTGAAATCCAGAGCTTAAAACAAGCTTTAAACAGCAACTCGAAATCCTCAACAAGCAACATAATTTTTCCTCTCTCAAGTCTTGAACAAATGGCATATGAGGGTTCCAGTTCCGATTTGGAACACTGCCAACCGTGTATCACAAACACCATCATTATCACGCTGTTCAAAAGCACCATAGCACGAAAGTATCCGGGTAAACGGTCGAGCGAGCATTATATTCAACTCTCTCTCTCTCTCTCTCTCTCTCAGTTAAAGCACAGATCTTTTCCATCCTTTTCCAGTTTTGACTCGGAACAAAGCCATGGACATTTCACAAACTATCACTCGGGACGTACAATTTTTCCTTCAGCTTCTATAATAAACACAAAAGTTTTGAAATACTCAGTATTGCTAAAGGACGGCATCCTGAAAAATTCTTGCGCACAAAGCTACGACCTGAACGTCGAGTGTTACTGCCTGCTTCGTTTATAATAAACTAGTCTCCCTACCAAGTGTCTATTCCGGTCCTCACTAAATGGTCGAGCGAGCACCACAATAAAGACTTTTTATCGTAACTACTGGAAAAACATTCATCAC